CATTATGACATTAATGATCTATTGTGTATACAAATAATTTATTATAATATTAATGATGTACTATGTATATCATTACAGGAAATCGGACCCGTTGTGGTCCGAGAGAACTCCGGCGGCAAAGGGCGCTACGTCCGGGCGGAGGTGCCGGCAAGGCTGGCCCCTCGCCTCTCAGGTCTCGCCCGTATCCGCGTGGGATGGGTCACCTGTAGGCTGAGGATCCTTGGCGACAAGGGTCCGAGGTGCTACAGGTGCCTGGAGCACGGGCACGTGGCTCAGACCTGCAAGGGACCGGACAGATCCAAGGGGTGCTTCTCCTGTAAAAAGGAGGGGCACCAGGCCAAGGACTGTCCGGGGGTGGGGCCGGCTTCAAAGGCCGCGAAGTCAAAGGGGGGGCCTGGAAAGAAGGCTCCCCCTGTGAAGAAGAAAGGGGGAAAGGCCGAGGGGTCTCCCGGAGCGCAGCCCGCTAGTGGATGAGATTCCTCCAAGTGAATCTCAACCACTGTCGGGCCGCTCAGGACCTGGTCCGGCGGGCGGCGTACGAGATGGGCACCGACGTGTGCATCGTCTCGGACCCGCACGCCGGATCGGTCCGGGACTCTGCCGGCAGGTTCTTGGGCCGGTCCGGCAGAGCGGCGATCGGCGTGTTGGACCGCGGCCTAACGGTCGCGGACATCGAGTCGGGCGACCCGACGCTGCACCCGCACGTGTCCGGTTGGTCGGTTCTCCCACATAGGGAAAACCTCAGCGACCAATGGTACATCGTGTATGAGTGCGTCGACGGCGGCCGTCCCCCGNGGGCTGGTGGGTCGGACCGGCCACGGACGTCGACGCTTTTGAGACGGGCCTACTACTCGCTCAATGGTCGGCGCCCGCGGTACCGGACCGGCGCGTCTCCGCGAGCGAAGCGGCGGAAGAGTTGGACCGGAGGGTGGTCGCAGCCTGCGACTTCGCCCTCCCGGCCAAANGCGTCTCCGCGAGCGAAGCGGCGGAAGAGTTGGACCGGAGGGTGGTAGCAGCCTGCGACTTCGCCCTTCCGGCCAAACGACCGCCGTCGACTCGCGGACCGCCAGTCCACTGGTGGAACGCCGAGGTGGCGGCCAGGCGTGAGGAGTCAGGAGTCAGAGTCAGGAGGACGATGACGCACTCCAACCGTTGGCCGCGGGACCTGGATTCCCCGGACCCGAGGGAGGCGCTGAGGTCGGCCCGCAAGGAGCTGAAGCTCGCCATCAGGCGGGCCAAAGCGAAATGCTTGGCCGAACTCGTAAAGTCGGTGGACCACGACCCGTGGGGGAAACCCTATCTGGTCGTAATGCGGAAGCTTCGCGGTCCACCGGCTTCGGGTCAATTGGAGGCGGAAGTGCTGGAAAGGGCGGTAGAGACGCTCTTTCCGACACATCTGCCCCTGCCTCCCCCGGCGTTTGGGGACGACGTGTCGGTGGTGGAATTCACCAGCCAAGAAGTAGCTGACGCGGTGGCGCGTGTGCGGGGCCGGAACACAGCTCCCGGCCCCGACGGGATTCCAAACCGGGTGTGGGGGTTGGTCCACGACCTCGCCCCGGATTGGATACGCGCCGTCGCGAACCTCTGCCTCTCGGAGGGTGAATTCCCCACGAAATGGAAGAAGGCCAGGCTGGTACTTCTGAGAAAGGGTGACAAGCCCGAGGGTCTCCCCTCGTCGTACCGACCGCTTTGCATGTTGGACGACTTGGGGAAGATCCTCGAGCGGCTGCTCGTCACCCGGATCGAAGCCCACCTGGCCGACGTCGGCGGACTGGCCGAGGGCCAGTTCGGCTTCCGGAGGGGGAGGTCGACGGATGACGCGGCCTCCCTCTTCAGGGACTTGGCCCTCAAGGCCAAAACTGAGCAGGGTTTCGGGGTGGCGGTGAGCTTGGACATCCGAAACGCGTTCAACTCCGTGCGATGGTCACACATCCTCGGAGCGCTGGACGCGTTTCGGGTGCCTCCTTACCTCGGGCGGATGATCCGGTCGTACTTTAGCGATCGGGTCATCTCTTACGAGAGTGCCGCGGGGCCGAGAATCCTACCTGTTACGGGAGGCGTCCCGCAAGGGTCGGTTCTCGGGCCTCTGCTGTGGAACATCGCGTACGACGCGGTGTTCCGCGTTCCGCTACCGCAGGGCGTGCGCGTCGTCTGCTACGCGGACGACACGCTGGTGGTGGCGGAAGGCGCCTCGGCCGAGGAGGCTGGATCCCGGGCAAACTGCGCGCTCAGCGCAGTCACCGCCTGGATCCAGCAGGAGGGGAGTGGACTTAGCCTCGCCCTGGACAAGACCGAAGCGGTCTTGTTCACGGGCAGGTACAAGTTCACTCCTCCACGGCTCGCCGTGCTGGGGGTGGAGATCCCGCTTAAGGACTCCATGACTTATCTGGGCCTTGTCATAGACAAACGTCTAAAGTTCGGGCCGCACATTACTCGTGCGGCCCAGCGGGCCCAGAATGTCATGAATTGCTTGGCGGGACTCATGCCCAATCTGAGAGGGCTGAGAGAGATGCGGCGTAGACTTTTAGTCAGCGTCGTACACTCGGTTCTCCTGTACGGGTCCCCGGTTTGGGCGGATACTCTTGAGTATTCGTCCAAAAACCGTGAAGCCCTGCTCAGGGTACAAAGGCGGGCGGCGATCCGGACAGTTTCGGCGTACGGAACGGTGTCCGGAGTAGCGGCTGGTATCCTGTCGTCACTGCCGCCCGCCGACCTGCTCGCCGAGGAACGCGCCGCCGGGCATGAGCTCTGCCGAGAACGCAACCGGTCCCTCGAACCCGAGGACCGGCTAGCGCTTAGGCGGATGACCATGCCCGGTGGCGGACTTCTTTAGAAATTAAGGAAGGTGACATGGTTTATTTACAAAATAAAGCAGCTCACAATAAACTCACACCCAATTGGATAGGTCCATTTGAGGTTCTCGAAATCCACCCTAACCAGGTCAATGTAGCGATTAAGTGGAGGGGGAAAAGACATTTAGTTCATAAAAATTTATTGAAAAAACATTTCTCCTAAATCCATAAAATAAAAAAAAAATTTTTTTTTGTATTTCTAGTACATACACCAATGCAGAAATTCTAATTCACCCACCGGACAATCTAGCACAAATAGACATACTAACTCCTCACATTGGAATGTATTATGAAAAGAAATCTAATGTCAAACTACACAGCAGCGACTGGACAATAGTGACATTCTTGGACACATCACAGTATGCGTCCAAATACAACACTCTCTTGCAGTTCTATAGTACAACACGTAATTTATGCACACAACTAAAAGACAAAGTTAGTGTGTTAGAATTTGTAGAAGCTTGTCATCACTTTGATAGGGCTACACTTCCATATCTCTTCGAAATCGAATCAAACCGAAACGCTATAAATATCTCACTCGGACAAAACATCCATAAAGAAAACTACCGGGTCCGCCGTNTGGACAAGACATCCATAAAGAAAACTACCGGGTCCGCCGTAACATGATCAGCTCAGTAACGACGGTAGCAAAAACAATTTTTGATTCAAGTCACATGTTAAACACTGAATTCATCTTTGNAATGTTAAACACTAAAATCATCTTTGGCAAAATAATAGATTTCATAGATTAATGAAGCTCAAGTCGAAATCGAAAAGAATATTCAATATCTTAATAACCAAGTCATAAAGAATTCTCAAACTATCAACAGTCTAATCACGAAAACAGCTTTGTTAGAGCAATCAACGTTATTCCAAATCCTTCTAAATCAGTATGCGTACGAAACGCAAAATATTGTTTCTATTATCAACTCTGCTATCCATGGCAAAATTCACACCACAGTTTTGCCTCCTAACAAGTTACTATCTCAGCTACGGGAAATACAGCTAGAACTTCCCGCTGGCAATCAACTTCCGTTAGAAATTAATATACAAAATATTCCTGAACTCCTTTCAATCTCTTCTACATCCATAATTTATAGAGATAACTTTCTCATTTTTATATTGCAATGTCCAATAGTTAAAATCGATGAATATAATCTCTATCACACGATACCTTTACCATTCTATTTTGAAAACAATAATGTTGTTCTAGTAAAACCAGACAACGATTATATAGCAATTAGCGATGATAGTGAGTTTTATTTAACTTTTAGTCAATCGCAAATAGAAACATGTATACCACTTAACTCATATACATTATGTAAAGGTAATCATCCAGTTTATCGAAAATCTTCTTCTAAGCTATGTGAAATTTTATTGTTAGAAAATCCACAAGATTTACCT